GATGGAAGAGATACAGTAAAATTCAAGGCACTCTATACATGGTTGCGTGCCCCTTCCTTAACTCATGAACGGGTTAACTCGAAAAGCATTTCCATCGTCTCCTGAAGTTGATCATAATGAAAAATTTTTGTCGAAGGAGTTTGTTATTGAAGCTTCAGTGGGTGGAATAGATTTCAATTTAACTGAAAGTGCCAGGTACTGTCTCATTCTCATTACTTAATATTTGGTCATTTAGGAGACACTGGCATGAAATTTAATGAACCTGTATTGGAAAGGCACGTCCGAATTTAAATGTAACACAAATATGAAATACGTAACGTATAGTTTTGATGTTCATGGACGGGAAGACGATACAAGTAGCGGTGTTTTGGAGGAAGTTGCTGAACTAAGTGGAGGAAGAAATTGTTCTTTCCCATTTATCTCTACAGCTTCCAGCCACACTGCTGCTGCTTGCAATGTTTGGAACATTCTCCACTCCTTATGGGTAGCGTTAATGCTCTGGTGGCATAAAACAATTTTGAAGAAATTAGTTTAGAATGGAAAGAAGTAATCCACAGAATGGTGAAATGATTGGGCTTCAATCAGTATGTGATGGGAGAACTGATCAATTGGCAGTGCCTAGAAACCAAAACATTTTAGTTTTTGATGAATATGTGGCCAAATTTTAGGCTTTTGTGAGGAATACATATTTGCAACCGATTTGCATGCATTTTATATTCAACTTGTGCGTCTACACTGAGTTTTCATAATGTCTTACATTCACTTGATTGTTATTGGCACTGTTATAATATAACGAAACAATATTAATCAATCAAATGCTTTTATTTTCTTAAATTATGTGGACGAATCTGCACCATATGCCCACCCCAAGGTTTGCCACAGGCGTGGAATATAGAACCTGAGTTGGTGGGTGTACAGTAGTTGGTCATGTTCCATCGTGTATCGACAATGAGGAAATCATTTTTGATATGAAAACGCTAGAATGCTTAATTCAGGAATATTTTCATCAGCAGAAACTTTAATGGCAATGTTTACGTTGCTGATTA